GGGGAAGGCATATTTGGAGACAGCAAAAAGCAACAGTGGCAAAATGTTAGGGATAATGAACTATTTCTGTAGGAAATTGAAGAAAATGAATATGATTATGAATTTGGACAAATGTAAGGTTGTCTAGAAAAGGAACATGAAAGAATGACTACAAAATAAACCTGAAACAGGACGAGGTATGAATTAGCAATGCCAAACACGGGAATGTAGGGCTGAAAATGTGGTTTGAGTGGTACACTATTTGTCTTCCACGCTTGAGATCCTGTTTGGTCCCCAGGATTCCAAAACCAACCAAAAATCTATAATGTATAATTTACAATAAATATGAACTTTTTTGCAAGTAATTGCAGGCCCTAGAAATAGATCTCAATTACAGACACACACACACACACACACACAGACACACACACACATACACGTGCATGTATGTGGTACTTCAATATGAGTGAGACTGTCTCTTCCAATTACTTTGGGAAAAAACTAACAAATGGGTTGGAATAGCCATATACCTATCTGGGTAGGAAAAAGACTAATTCCTTACTTCATTTCTACTATCTAAACACATCTCAAATGAACCAAAAATTTAAAGGTTAAAAAGAGAACTGGGTACTAGTGGCTCATGACTATTATATTAGCTTCTCAGGAAGCTGATATCTGAGAGTCTCAATGAATACCCAGTCTAGGCAGAATAGTCAAAACTATTATCTCCAATTAACCAGTAAAAAAAGGTGGACATGTCTGAGTGGCTCAAATGGTAGAGTACCAACTGTGAGCAAAGAAGCAGAGCAAGAGTACAAGGCCCTGAGTTCAAGCTCCAGAACTGGAATTTTTTTAACTTTAAGAAGCAAAATTTTGAAAGTACTGGAAAAATACATTTAATTTACTCTTAAATGTTAAAGTCTTAGGAGTTTATTAGATTTTGCTAGAAAACCACACAGACATCCAGGTACCAAGAACAAAGAAAAGGTTTATTGCCAGTAAAGAGACTGGCAAGGGGTCTAGGGAGGTGGCTCAGTGGTAGAGTGCTTGCCTTGCATGCCTGAAGCCCTGGGTTCAATTCCTCAGCACCACATAAGCAAAAAGAAAAAAAGCCGGAAGTGGTGCTGTGGCTCAAGTGGTAAAGAGCTGAGGGACAGCACCCAGGCCCAGAGTTCAGGCCCCTTGACCGGAAACCCCCCCCCCAAAAAAAAGACTGGCAAGACCCCTTGTCACAAGAGAGAAGTGAGAAATGCTGGCTATTGTCTAGGCGAGCTATATAATCTACTGAGGCTAGAAGGCGTTAGGAGGCAGAGACCTTGGTGTGGACGTGAGGGCCAGGGGCTTCATCATGGTGGACTAGGCTTTATGGCTGCTGCCCAAATAGTAATAAAGGGTCCTGCAACTGCCCAGACCTGAAGGTCACTCTAAGGGGCTCTTGCTGCCTTATATGGTGGTGGCTGCCCCAAAGTGCCATCCCAAGATAAAGGGGGGTTGGGGGCTGATTATTTACTGCCTTTACTAAATGGGCCTAGAGTTGCCTAAGAAAGAAGAATACTAAACTATGGGAAGGGGAAGGAGTGTGCTAAGCCATGGGAAGGGAGCTTTCTAAGTAACTCAAAAATCTCAAACTATAAAAACTGGTAAGTTTGCAAAGTAAACAAAAACCCAGAAAAATATTATGAACAAATGACAGTGAACCAATTTTCTTAGCTTATAAAAAAAGGTGAAATCAAAAGGCAAATCATTGAAAAGAGAACATGCCCAAAGAAAATATCAGTAACCAGTAGACATAAAAATCTATTCCATTAAAATGATTAACTTTACAGAAAAAAGTTACAGAAAATATCAGTAACCAATAGTCATAAAAATCTATTAAAATGCATTAACTTTTCTGAAGCAAGATACTGTTTATTCACTTTCAGACAATTAAACTGAAACAGTTTAGCACCCAGTAGAGGTGTGGGTCTGGTAATATCACTCTCATACATTATATATGGCAACAAGGTATATGTATGAAAGTTTGGCTCCTGAACTGATAATGAAAATACCCTTTGATCCAACATTCCAACAATTATAGTAGCAATTAACTCTGTAAACATCACCTCACTACATGTATGCCCACTGTAATCACTTACTTAGTAAAATACTGAAATAATCCATTAGTATGTTTAAACATTTATAACACATTAGAAAAGCAATCGCTAAAAAGAATGAGACTTTTAACTGATAAAGATCTCATAAAATATAAGGAGAAAAAAGCAGCAATGTATGCATGTATTTGTGTGTCTATGCATATATATATACTGATTTCCATTAATGTGAATTTAAGTACATATTTGCTAGTAAACAAAATTTGTTTCATATAAGAATTACAAGAGAGGGCTGGGAAGGTGGCTCAGTGGTAGAGCACTTGCCTTGCATGCCTGAGGCCCTGGGTTCGATTCCTCAGCACCACATAAGAAAAAAGCCGGAAGTGGCACTGTGGCTCAAGTGGTACAGCGCTAGCCTTGAGCTGAAGAGCCGAGGGACAGCGTCCAGGCCCAGAGATCAGGCCCCACGACCGGACCCCCCCCCCCCCAAAAAAAAAAAAAGAATTACAAGAGGGCCGGACACTGGTGTCTCACGCCTGTGATCCTAGCTACTCAGGAGGCTGAGATCTGAGGATCGCGGTTCAAAGCCAGCCTGGGCAGGAAAGTCGGGAGATTCTTATCTCCAATAAACCACCAGAAAACTGGAAGTGGCGCTGTGGCTTAAGTGGTAGAGCGCTAGCCTCAAGCTGAAGAGCTGAGGGACAGCGCCCAGGCCCTGAATTCAAGCCCCATGACCGACCAAAAAAAAAAAAAGAATTACAAGATAGGTTACCACTGAAAGAAGGCAAAAATTTTAATTTCATGCCTTTTTGTAAAGACCTGATCCTTTTTCTACATGTACATATCTTTCAACCTATTAAAAACACTTGATTAGCAGATTATTTTGAGATTCTCCTGGGTAGATTTTTATATTGGGTATTTTTTAACATTGTTGGAAGTGCCAATTTTACAAAGTAGAACTCAACCTTGTATTTTCACTAAACGTTAGATTTGCCCCTTGATGCTGTAATCATGATTTTTCTATTCACTATAAAGTGACCTATTTGTCTTGCTATAAAACAAGTTGTGATGTAATGATTAGACACTGATGCTCAAGGACCAATTCTTATATACTAAGGGGCCTTTGGTTATTTATAAATGGCACTATACAATGTATTTTGTTTATAAAAACAAAGTTGCATTAAAACTTTACATTAAATATCCATTTAATTTAGTAAAACAGCATCGCACTAGAAAAAATACATTCATAAAATCAGCTCTTACATTTTTCTGGAAACAGAAAAGCAGAAGAAAGGAGATTAAAAGTAAAAAGCAAACAAAAGAAAACACTGCCAAAAACAGGGTGAGACAATTATTTATTTATTAGACAGGGTAAGGTCATTTAAGGAGAGGAAACAGATCCAAAATATGTGTTTAGCTTGGTGTTACAGGCATTGATGCTCACAACAAACAACACTACTCAATACATCATGGAAACAGGCCACATACAACCAGGAAGATGCTAGCATGCCATTCAAAAATAAGCCACAATGCTTAGGAAACAATTATAGGGAGTTACAGAGCATACTAGTCTCCAGTTCACCCACTTGCATTTTGTGCAGCTGGGTCGTTAACTTATAGTTATATTTGACTGGTTCCCTGGTTATTAAGAAATGTGTCTTCCTGTATTCTAGAAAACTTTGACTGGTACATACTTCTGAATGTCACTGAAATTACAGTTCACTGCAGACTTAACTAGCTCACATCACTACATTTTCCAAATATTGTGGGTAATAATGAATTATCTCATAGAACTATGAATAAAATTCTATTTTTAATACATTTAGCACTGTTACAATGTACCTATGGTACATACTTGGAAAATATAGTACAAATTCTCTAAATTTTAAAAATAATTGGGAGAACTCACCTGGCCCAACGTACACAAGCTGTTAGCAAAGGTAAACATACATGTAAGCTGCTGTTGATTATTTGCCAAATTATTTAGCCTCATTTTAGCAGGATTTTCCTGACTGAGCTTGCAAAGATAGATTTCAATATCCATTCTAGAGACTAGCCAAATTTTATATGGTGCAGTATATCATGGATGCTTGACTACAAGAAAAAAAACTATTCAATATAAAATTAACTGAGAAATATCTATCCTTAAATCCACTTGTCTTTTCTTTCTCTTTTCTTTTGGGCTAGAGATAAACCCAAGGCCCTGAACATACTAGGAAAGTGCTCTATCAGTGAATTATACTCCTGGCCCTTTGCTAATTCCTTTCACAACAGTGAGTTCTTACAATGAGAACTTATCACTACACAAAGAAAATCCTATTTAAGAAGCCAGTCACAAAAGACTGGAACTGTCTGAATTTATTATATTAAAAGGCCATAAAAATAGATGGATGACCTGGGAGCCAGTGGCTCATGCCTTTAATCCTAGCTACTCAGAAGGCTGGGATCTGAGGACTGCAGCTCAAAGCCATCCCGGGCAGGAAAGTCCATGAGACTTTTATCTCCTATAAGCCACCCAGAAAACCAGAAGTGGCGTTGTGGCTCAAGTGGTAGAGCACTAGCCTTGAGCTGAAGAGCTGAGGGACAGTGCTCAGGCCCAGAGTTCAAGACCTACAACCAACAAAAAAAAATAGATGCATGATTGACTAGGGTGGGGGGTGGGTGGGCATCAAGAAGAAATGAGGTGACCGCTACAAAGTACACAGTCTTTTGGGGATTAAGGAATATCCTAATTTAATAGATATTGTCACACAACTTTATAAACACCCTTTAAGTGGGTAGTGAATTACAAGATATATAATTTATTTTTCAGCAGCAATGTTATGAAAATGTATTAGGAAAAGAAGACAGCCCCAAAAGAGAAGAAAATAAGGGGATCTCCCAAATCAAATCACATGAAAGGAAACAGTTGACAAGCTTAATACAGTCAGCTTGTTTCTCTCATTCTACTTTTTTTTATTATCACTTGAACCCTTGACTTCACATTTTTAATGCATTTCTAAATTATTTCAGGTAATCAACAGATTCCAAACTTTGCTCTCATGAAACAGAAAAGTTGCACAGAATAAAAATCAATGACAAAGTAATAACATCCTTTGGAACTGTGTATTACCAAGTAGAAGAGAGGAAATTCATTTTCAATGGGACAAAATACCATCAGGTGTAAGGGTAACTTGATTGTGATGCCCTGTTTCAAAAAATAAAGTATAATATCTTCAGACCCTTGCCTAAAGTGCATTTCATTTTGATACCTGCATAATAGTTATTCCCTTTACAACTTTACAATTCAAGAAAAGCAACGTTTTTATACTTGTGTAATTTAACAAAAGCTAATATTCTCTACCAAGAAAATAATAAGCTTCCTGTGGGTTTTTTTTAGCACATAGAGAAAGCCAAATTTCCCTAAGAGCAATATTTCTGTTTCTGAAAAAAAATTAAACTCTATTCTCATCCTCACTTTCAGCACCATAAAGACACAATTCTGTCAGAAGCTACAAATAAATTTCTCCAGTGACCTTAATTTTCTAAAAACTTAAGCATATGAGTTCCAACTATTTAGATCTAAATTTCCTTTGAGTCTGCCTTTAGATTACTGAAAATATTCCTTCATTTTCACTATTTCACTAGTAAAGTACGAAATAAACTAACAGAATTTGAATAAATGAAACTTGCTAAAGGTAAGTAGTTGGTTATTCTTAATGACTACTATTCTTTTCCACAGGCAAGATAATGAAATCATTTTTGGTCTATCTTCAACTACTCTTCATTACATAACCTAAACATTTTTGTGGCTAATGGAAGAGAACTCCAATTAGCTTTGCAGCAAGTTGAGCCTATAAAATACATCAGGACAGAATTTTTGACACAAAAATTGCTCACTGCACACAAACTCTCAGGAGTAATCAAACAAGACAGCTGATAGTAGAAAGTATATGGGAGTGAGTGGGGTGAGAAGTCATGAATAAAGTAAAAACTGTCAAGTATCTGCTAAAGCTAAAGCAGAGCCACTTTTTAGGGCTGCAAAGTCACCACTTTGGTCTCATCAGGGAAGTTTATTTGATAAGACCATTTTAATGTCTCTTGTGTTGCAAAATGCAGTAGTCACACAGTATTTCCTAAAGGATTTCTAAAAACTGTAGTGCAAAAGAAAAAAAATCTAAGAAAATAAATAATCACAAAAACTACTATTTTCCATGAAAATGTTTTCAAAACAGTGACTTTTACAAAAGATGTAAATTGGTTTAAATGAAAAAAATTCTCTATATGAAAGATCAAAGATTCATTTCACAGATAATTTATATTCCATTAATGACTGGATAACCAATGTACAAACAAGGGCCATAGACTTCTTAAAACCAGATCTGAAAAAAATCAATATAAATACTGATGAGAGGAGTGTTTTATACCCCCAACTCCACTGTTCAACTGTGTCCTGTTCTGTAATTTAATTTTTAAAAATCTTAACGGCGCAGTGATTCGAGTTTTCGTAACTTCAATGATGTGTTAGAGGACAATGCATCTTGGTTTGAAGGATTTGTTGTATCCGAAGGCCGGAACAGTACTCGACCACGGTGATTAAATACATAAAAGGATGGGTGATTCCTTAAGGTATCAAATGTCCTTAAAAGGAAAAAAAGCATTAATTTTAGATAAACCTTTATGAAAGCCTATTTGAAAATAAGTAGGCTTCTAAATGAACTGTGAATTTGCTATGGGTTATATTTTCAAGAAAGTGTAAATACATGAAATCAGAGTACAACTGATAATCATACAGTACTGCATGTTTTTTACTATAGAAGGAAAATAAAGAAACCTGGGAAGCCAGAATAAAGTTCTTAGATTTCTTTTTCATTCAGTCAATCCTTGTGGGATGCCTATCAATAATAACAGAAATATCAGCTCAAGTTCAATCAACTCTGAAAATCAAACAGCAGTTTAAGCCAATCTTTCAAAAGCCAGTATACTCTATGGAGAGCTCAAACAGTAGAGTCTTTTAGAAAGACTAGGTCAAAGCCCAAATAAATCAGCATCAGAAAATGGGTACATGCAAGAGGGGAGGTAGGGCCAAGGGAAGAGGTGTAGACAAAATGAAGAGAGAAACAGAGGGAGGAGAATGCAGTCAAGAATTCATCATATATACCACAAAATTAAGAAAAGTAAGGGAAGGGGTGGATTGCAGGGGGGTGAGAATATTGAAGGGGATGATACCGATCAAGATGCATTATATTCATAAACGTCTTTGTCAAATGGCACCTCCTTTGTACAACTACTTAAATAAAAAATTTTAAGTCAGTACAGATTGCACCTGTGATTATTTTCATTGGCCCTTACTATTCAAGCCATCTGATCATTTTTCCCGAGAATCTTTCAAGTTCAACAACAACAAAAAACTCCTTTTGGCCCTCTCTACATGCTTATATATTTTGTTATTTTTGACACCATTCTGCTTTATTTCTTTCTTTTACTGGCCCCTTGCCTAGAACTTTTGGTAGACGCTTTATAAAAGCAGTGATGACACTGTATTATCCTTTCTTCCTTCTTAGAGAAATCTATATAGTCTAAAAAGAAGTTCACTACATGTCAGTACATGTACAATCTTTAGTGTTAGGTTTTAAGTATTATTTCCCCCCAAGAACAGGAGAACCCTTCCTTTGTTAAAAACTTAAATCTCAAAGCCAGTCTACCTAACCACCCAATCATAACTCCCACATAAAGCAAGGGGGCCTGAAGTGTACCATTTAAAATGATAATAATAGCCGGGTGCCTGTAATCAGAGTAGCTACTCAGGAGGCTGAGATCTGATGATCACGGTTCAAAGCCATCACGGACAGCAAAGGCCATGAGACTCATCTCCAGTTAACGACCAGAAAACCAGAAGTGGTCCTGTGGCTCAAGGGGTAGAGTGCTCACCTTGAGCTGAAGCATTCAGTAACAGTGCCCAGGCCCAAAATTCAAGCCCCACTACCGACAAAAATAAATATAATAAAATAAAATTATAATAATGAGGTAAAATAAAAGTGGATTTCCACTAACACATAAATGTTTACTGTGAATCCTAAGGAAATACTGTAAACAGCTGTCAGGTCCAGAATCAGAAGGGTGACTAAAGTTCAGAGATGGAACTTAACAAAGCTAAAGTAAAAATACAGGAAAGGAAAGCAAACAAAGCTTGTGAAGACAGCTTAGAAAAAACATGGGAGCAAAAAAGGGAAGCAGAGTAAGAAGTATTCTTTAACCTAGCCATTGTTTTTAAACACACACACACACACACACACACACACACACACACACACACACACACACACACACACAGCCTGTGGGGAGAGCTTACGTCACAAAACAGAGGAAACAGGAAAAAAAGTTTTCTAAAGATTAAGTGTTCTGACAAGAGAATAAAAGTAGAAAGGAAAGGAAGAGAGAGGGAAAGAGGGGAAAAGAAAGAGAGAAGAGGAGACAGGGAAGGAAGAGAGAGAACAGGAAAGGAAGGAGGAAGGGAGGAAGGAAGGGAAAAAGGATAGGGCAAAAAGGAGCATGGCTAAAACTTTTAAGGGATTAGCTTTTCATTTATCTATCTCTAACCATCTATCCACCCAATGAATCATTTTAAACTACTAGGAGGTACCATAAGCTAATATCTTAATTTAATACCAATTATTAGGTGTTCAATTATATCACTACCTCAATATTTTTACCTCATTACTCAAACAGTATACTCAAAATGTAAAATCAAAACCAACCAGAAAACACATATTGTATATTATGTAAGCAAAGCAAATCCCTATAAAATTACATGTCTCTGAAAAGGGAAAAAACTTACTTATTTTTTAGTTCTGAAGTAGCATCCATGTCTTTAAACTCCCCTGCAATATGAACTATACCATAACAGGTAACTGCAAAGGCCAGAAGAGTCTGAAGAACTATCTGTGAGTATAAAGATTAAGATTACCAAATAGCACACAAATAATAAACAGAAATTTTACAATACCCTACCCTTATGTGGTCACTAACAAGTAGCCATCTCAATGTCATTCATCAAAGAGCCAATTCTCACTTGAAATGATTTTCACTAGAACACAATAAAATCTCTTAACCATACCAATACTTCTGATGCTTAAATAAGTGAATTTAGCAACAGGCTCAAAGAAGCAACATCAAATTATTAAGAACTCAATTATCAAATTATAACTGCTTCTTGGAGCAACTACAGATTTTTTTCTGTGTAACTGTTTAATATCAGAGTAAACAAAACATTTGGGTACAATTTTTTAAATAAATAAATGCAAAGAACTCAATTATCAAATTATAACTGCTTCTTGGAGCAACTACAGATTTTTTTCTGTGTAACTGTTTAATATCAGAGTAAACAAAACATTTGGGTACAATTTTTTAAATAAATAAATGCAAAGACAGCACTTAACTATCATCAAGCTTAAGAAATTGACTACTTTGTTTTTGGAGGGGGGGGTCCAGTCGTGGGGCTTTTTTCTTTTTGCTTATGTGGTGCTGAGGAATCGAACCCAGGGCCTCAGGCATGCAAGGCAAGCGCTCTACCACTGAGCCACCTTCCCAGCCCAAAACTGACTACTTCTAAACCAGGTGCCACGCCTGTAATCCTAGCTCTTCTGAAGGCTGAGGCAGTAAAGTCCTTGAGAATCTTACCTCCAATTAAGCACCAGAAAAACGGAAGTGGTGCTGTGGCTCAAGTGGTACAGCGCTAGCCTTGAGGTGAAGAGCTCAGAGACAGTGCCCAGACCCAGAGTTCAAACCCCATGACCAACAAAAAAGAAAAGAAATTGACCACTTCTAGTTCCAATTTGTTTTGTTTTCTTTTAGGACAGGGTATAAGTAAGCCTGGCTGGTCTAGAACTCACTAAGTAACCCAGACTAGCCTCAAATTCATAATCACCTTTCCTCAGCCTCCCACGTGCTGAGATTACAGGCATGAGACACTCTTAGCTTTCCAGAACCTTTCAAGTCCCACGTGTCTCTGATTCTTTACCTTCCTTCTCAAAGTTAATCATCGTCCCCAGTTGGGCATTAATCCGTTCCTTGTTTTTCTTTACAATCTCCCAATAGTATATGAACTGCTAAAACAGGTACTTACTTTTCTTCCCTTTGAACTTTATTTATAATGTACTCAAGTGTACCATATATAACTATCTTAATCATGTTTGAGATTTAGCCTTGTAATAGCATATAATTAGTCTGTTCATCCTTTATATGAAAATACAAAAATAAAAGTTCACATTTAAAAAAAAAAGCCCCTGTACCAGTGGTCATGTCTGTAATGCTAGCTACTCAAAGACTGAGACTTGGAAATTTTAGTTTCAAAGCCAGCTTGCTCAGAAAAGTGAGACTCCATCTCCATTTAACCAGCAAGAAAAGTTGAGACTGTAGGCAAGTATCAAGCAAAAAAGTTGAGCAAGCCCACAAGGCCCTGAGTACAAGCCCTGGTACTGGCATAAAAACAAAAATGTTGAGTATCAATAGCTCACATCTGTAATCTTAGCTACTAAGGAAGCTGAGATCTGATTACACAATTCAAAGCCAACCTGGACAGGAAGATCTGTAAGACTCTTGTCTCCAGTTAACCACCAAAAAGCTGGAAATGGAGATGTGGTTCAAGTGGTAGAGTGCTAGCTTTGAATAAAAATGCACAGGAACAGAGCCTAGTCCATGAGTTCAAGGCCAGGACCAGCACAAACAAAACAGAACAAAGCAAAACAAAACAAAACAATTTATCCATTCTACTGATGCTAGGTCTGAGGCTTGTTTTGTGTTATTTATACAATATCAGTATCAATATTCTTTTGTATCTTCCAGTAAATAGGAGTGGAAACAATGACTGTGGAATGTGCAGATTTATCAGATAATACCAACCTTGTCAATTCTTTGTCAAAAACTTCTGTTTTGCAACCAATAATTCAAATATTTGAAATTAACAAATGTGGAATTAAGGCATATTTTCTAGATTGTGATTTTTTTAACTTTAAAAAATTTCAGGGGCGGGGGAGGTTGGTAGGGGTGAAGATGGGAAGGGTTGGTAAAGGGAAACAATTGAGGAGGCAACAATGTACTCATTACCTTCTCATGTAATTGTAACCCCTCTGTACGGTATTTTCACAATAATTTTTTTTTTTAATTTCCAATTTGTAAGCTGGACACTAGTGGCTCACATCTATAATCCTAGCTACTCAGGAGGCTGAGATCTGAGGACTTTAGTTCAAAGCAAGCCCAGAAGATTCTTTTTTTTTTTTTAATTGTGAAAATACTGAACAGAGGGGTTACTATTACATGGGCAAGATAATGAGTTCATTTCTTATCAAGCATTCTAGCCTCCTCCTTTGTTTCCCCTTCCCATCCCTTCCCATCCTCCCCCTGCCCCACCCAATCCCCCCCTAATACCCCCCCCCACCAAAGTTGTAAAGTTCGTTTTCAACATAAAGACTTGTACATCTCATTGTTGCAATGGGTCCACCTGTATCCCTATTTAAAAGATTCCCCCCCCCAGGAGATTCTTATCTCCAACTACTCAGAAAAAGCTGGAAGTGGTGCTGTGGATCAAGTGGTAGAGCACTAGCCTTGAGCACAAAGAGGCTCAGGGACAGTGCCCAAGCACTGAGTTCAAGCCCCAGTACTAGAAAAAAATTCCAATTTGTAATCACATACAAGTAATTTAAAATAAATAGTATATGTGAGTATTTATGTGTGTTCACAAGGTAACAAGGGAACTGGTTTATCTACCACAACTTAATTATAAACAACTATAGTAAAAATGATCTACAAGCTATGATTCTGTCTACAAAGATATGATTCTGTCTAACAAAGATAACAGTAAAGCTGGGCTCAAGAGGCTCATGTCTGTAATCCTAGCTACTCAGGAAGCTAAGATCTGAGGATCACGGTTCAAAGCCAGCCCAGGCAGGAAAGTCCATGGGACTCTTATCTCCAATTAAGCACTGTGGCTTAAAGTGGTAGAGCAGAAATAAATCAGGGACAATGCCCAGACCCTGATTTTTAGCTCCATAACTGATAAAGAAAAGAAAAAGAAAAAAAGGAAAAAGATTATTGTAGGAAAGTTAGAATTGGTCTTATTTTAGCTTTAAAATACTATAGTGTTTTATTTAGCTTTTTTATCATCTATTTGTAACCATAAACAATGTACTATTTGCTTTGCTTGTTTTCAACTTTACCCCTCAACAAAAAAATGGAAGTCAAATCATTAGCCTTTTAGTTCCATCTTTTACTGTGGACAGAGGAACTTCTAGAAAGTCTTTCAACAGTTATAAAAGTCAAACCAAATGTTTTTAAGATTTCAAAATTGTTAGGTTTTACCAATAAAGAATAGATGTTATTTTATATTTGAAAAATGTTGAGAAAACCATTAAAAGAATTACCATATTCCAAATGGCTACTTAAAAATATTTTAATGAAAGATAAATGACCAACTTACATCTATTGGCAGTGATTCATCTTCCTTTTCTGTTAATCGCATATATGAACGATCTATAAACCAGAAGCATACCATTAAGGAAATTTTAGTCCATTTTTCCTTTCTTAAAATGCAAGCAAATCAATATACCAAACAAGCAGTGAACTGTACACTACATGAAGTAATGTAAACCCCAGATTCCTCAAAACCTCTACCTTCTAAGGCAGTCTTACCTCTATGAACTATTTTATTGTCATCATGACCTGATTTGTATACAGGGTAAGAATTAAAATAGATGGGCAAGTATGAAGTAGTAGAAATAGCAATGAATGTATTTAGTACAAGCTGGATGCTGGTGGCTCATGCCAATCCTACCCAGGAGGCTAAGATCTGAGGATCGTGGTTGGGACCCAGCCTGGGCAGGAAAGTTTGGAGACTGTTATCTCCAATATACTCAGAAAAAGCTAGAAGTGGCACTGTGGGTCATGTGGTAGAGAGCTAGTCTTGATCACCAAAGCTCAGGGACAGCACTCAGGCCCTGAGTTCAAGCCCCAGGACAGAAAAATAGTACAGAAAGACTAGTAACTTTGAAACTCTTTCTTTCATTGAGTTGTCAAAAAAATTACAACTCTTTAAAAATTAATAAGCATACAGAAAATTTCAATTCTGAAGAGCACTGCCATTACAGTGTGAAATTACAATAACACTGGTATGGAAGCATTTCTCTCAATATAATGCTGGGTAGTGGTGGAATCTAGAGCATCAATTTCTGCCTTTTTATTTTTACTATTTAATTATAACTGTATTGCCACCGTAACCTCAGGAGGCTACAAGGGATAAAGGAAAAGGACCAGGATATGGTCCAGGATATAAACCTTAAACATAAAGCCAACTCTTCTATTTACCATAAGTTACTGAATCTCATCAAGACGTATCTCAGTGACTCTCTAACTCTAACCTTTCAATTTTAGAATGTTAAAATATCAGAGCAAGAGAAGAGGCATGTGTCTTAAAATCAAAGAAGTATGGTATCTTTTCATTGCCTGAACTTCTGCTGCAGTAAAATGGAAATGATGTGAGAATTAATCAACTTACTACATGATTAGTGCACTATTATAACAAAGGTCATTTAAAAAATGAGCATTCCAAAACACCATATATTGCTATCTAATGCCACAATCGGACGTGACATAATTAGTATCAAAGATAAAATTAGTCAATTGCCAATGAGCATTACAAAGAGGTCTCACTATAGTAACAAATCCACAAGACAGGCTCACTACTTGACACATAAAAATACTAATCCTAACTGTAGATGAACATGAACAATCCCTAATTTAACATGCTATGGATTTAAAATACACAAATGGTTTTGATCTGTGAACTGATACTTAAAAGAGAGTATGTAAAAAAAGAGAGGTTATGCCTAAAGGTCTATACATATATAAGGACATGTAAAAAAATAATAAACCACATGACACAAAATGAAAGAGGTGGATTTCAGTGATCTCCAAGGACCTCCCTTGCTATATGACTGTATCATTGTACAGTTTATTGGAGAAAATAACAGTACTCCAGTGTGTCCTAATCTCCTCCAGGACAATGCTTCAAAAACTAATGTGCATGCAAATCACCTGGGGATCTTATTAAAACGCAGATTCTGATTCAATAGTTCTGAGGTGGGGCTTAACTGTCTTCTAATAAGCTCCCAGGTGATAATTAAGATGCTGGTCTGTTGACCACTCAGAACAGCAAAGCAGAACGGTAGTTTCCATAACCCCGTTTGTCCCAAATATCTGCTCCCTGTGCATCCTTATATACTTTGAACACAACATCTATACTATTGTATTATGATTATTCTTTGACTCACTTGTTTCGTCAGTAGCTTATTACTCTTGGCATAGTATTACTGTACATCTAACACGTAAGAACAAAGCAACTTCAACCAGTGACCCAACACTGAATTGTATGATGCAGTGTAGCACATAGCTTTTGCCCAAAGTTACACTGATTTAGCCATTAAGTAAATATTTAACAACCAGGCCTCAGATTCCCCATTCAGTGCTCTTTTCCCATATCACATTCATTCTCGAAGCAATCGGTTGTCTCCTGGAGAGCCCAGAAATGCCCAAGATGTTATCCACCCAGTTGTCGTCAGGCAATAGTCAAAACTGTCAATCACACATATTGTCTAATCGATATGACTTCCTTTGTCCTGGCCTCTCAGACATATAGAAGCCTGTCTCAAACACCGACAGCCAATGATTTCTGAAATCTCGGGTGCCCCACACCTGCCAAACTCCAAATCTTCCACCACGTTTCCTGCACTGCTTTTCTGAATCACCCCAAACGTAAATTCTCAAATGACAGATCTCCGGGTACTCGATCCGACAGTCCCTTAAGGGAGCGCCCACACACCTCTCCCAGAGTCCCACACGAGAGCGGTTCCCGTCCTCCAGGCACTTACGCTGCGCAGCGGAAAAGGCAGCGTGGGCGAGAGCAAAGAGGCCGATGCCTACTAGTCCCTTCCACAGAGATGGCGCCATGCTTGTTTAGGAACAGCAGCCCAACAGAGAAGGGCGACTGAGCTGTCCCTTTATCCACAGGCGGGTGTCCACACGGCGCAGAAAGATGGCGTCACTGAGCCCCTGGGCGCGAAGTTAGTGGGTGTAAAAACTGAAGAGACACGAGAAGGCGGAAACGAGAATGCCGGGAAGAAGGGAAAAACCACGGAAAAAGGTCCCCAAGGCTCTCTGAGTCTGCGCAACTAGTTCACTCTTCGAGGGGTGGAGCTAAACGGGATATCTAAAGAAAGAAGCCAAGCGGGATCAATGGGGACGCTTAGGAGAAGTGCGCTAGCAAATGAGCTTGGGCCGTGAGAAGGGGCGTGGCTGGCGGAAAGACTAGAGGCGGAGCCGGAGAAGGTAGTCTAAGACTGTGGGATCTCGGGTTTGCTTTCTCAATGTTATCTTTTTTGTAAGTTAGTTGGTTGGATCTGGTTTTCCTTCCACTTGTGTCTTTTATTTTCTATAAGGTCTTTGCTGTGCTTCCACCGTCAGGGGACTGGCACTGCGGAAGGAAACAAGTTTATTAAAGCAAAAGGGTAGATGGAGCGAGGAGGACTTCAATCTGGAGGTTAAAGTCCTGAACAGTGACAGTAAAGAGATGCTCACTAAATGTTAATCCCCTTCTCCTTACCTTCAAAAGGTCTTGGAGAAATATTTGTGCCAACTTGTGTAATGCAACGGAACTATTTTGCAGTGAAGACACTCGACATAGATAAAGAAAAGAGAAAGAAGAGAAAGTAAATGGATGCTAACGATGCAATTTCAGCTTGTTTCTGTTTCTGATCAGGATAAAAATGTAATCGCCTCTCCCCATTTTCCTTTGTCCTTATTACTTAATCAACTGTAGATGTTCAGTAGAGACTCTCCCCATGATCTCTTGGCTTTGCTGTCCAGGTGGCAAGTTTACCAGTTCATTCCTCGTAAAGCAAAGATATTTCAACGAACTCTAATTATTCCAAATCGACATCCCAATCCCAAATCTTTATCTGGCTTCAGATCTGCATTTCCGACTACCAGCCGGAAATTTATTTTATGTGAATGGTCCCTGTGGCATTTGAAATGCACATAGTCAAAACAATCCTTTTGCCCAAAACTGTGCTGGTTTATCCAGTGTCTCCTGGCTCAGAGGCATAGCTTTGTAAACTTCAACCACAAGGTAAATACAACGTATGATCACTTTTTCCCCTTCAGCCAGATTAGAACACTGTTACCTGCATCTATTTGCTCACCCTTACTGGCTTATAGATGCCTGCCTTTACCACCCCCTTATAAATTTACAGCATTCCAATTTATGATCACCTTAGCCTGTTCTGTTTCTAAATAATCTTCTAACCTACTATGTGATTTATTTATTATATTTGGCAGGTTACTATTGTTTACTATCTCTCTTTCCCCTGGAATGAACTTCAACTAGACATATTTTTCTACATAGAATATTGACTGTCATGTGCTAAGGATTTGATAAGGATATGTTGATTGAAGAATGATAGCTACTCCAAAGGCTGAGAACTGAGGATCATGGTTCAAAATCAGCCTAAGTAGGAAAGTCCATGAGACTCGCCTCCAATTAACAACCAAAAACAAGTGGCGCTGTGCCTTAAATTGTAAAGTGCCAGCTTTGAGTAAAAAAGTTCAGGGACAGTGCCCAGGCTTTGAGTTCAAGCCCCAGTACTGGCACAAACAAATTAATTGATTATGGAAATGAAGTGAGAAGGATATATTGTTGATTGAAAGGATAGATATAGAGAGTCTTTTCACTGTTTTGAATGGAGTTCAAAACTCCCTGTAGACCAAGTGGTACTGGCTCAAACCTATAATCCTAGCTACTCAGGAGGCTGAACTCTGAGCACCGTGATTCAAAGCCAGCCCAGGCAGGAATGTTTGTGAGACTCTTATCTCCAATTAACCAACAGAAACCCATGACCGACAAAAACAAATCAAATGAACAAAATAGACTCCGGAATTCTTTTTTGTTGTCAGTCATGAGGCTTGAACTCTGGGCCTGGGTGCTGTCCCTAAGCTCTTCAGCTAAAGGCTAAGGTTCTACCACTCGAGCCACAGCTCCACTTTCAGTTTTCTGGTGGTTAATTGGAGATAAGAGGTCCGTGGACATTCCTGCCTCAGATGGCTTTGAATTGCGATCCCCAGGTCTCAGCCTCCTGGGTAGCTATGATTACAGGCATGAGCCATCTGCGCCTGGTTCCCGGCTCCCTGTGGAATTCTTATATGTTTGAATTTCTTCAAAGCTTAAAAAATAAAGACCAAAGAAAATAAAGAAAGACAAAATACAAGATTCAGCATGCTTCCTTGGCTTTACCTACATAATTTCTATTTTGGACTCGACTGTTCAGACTTTTAGTCACGTTCATTATTTTTATCTGGAATCTCTCCAACTTCTTCTTACAGGTGAAAGAAAAAATTTTATGTCATATATGATCAATGTCAAGTACAGTATAATGCATTTATTACCAATGTCATATTTAGAAAGAAACAGTAGGCATTGTCTGTAGAGTTGGCAAGAAAGTACTTCCTTATCCACCCTTTTCCACCCTTGAGATAGAAAAGATAGAAATTTTTTTTAAAAACTTAAAACTTAAATGCTTACCCATTTACTGAGTACAAGAACACTAGCCTATAAGGAAGGGATGGTAGGGGAAAAACAAAGGAGAAGGTAACAATGCTCAGTGGGAAATGTACTCATTACCTTACTCATGTAACTATAACCCCTCTGTACATTATTTTTACAATAAAAACATAAAAAATAACACTAGCTTAGTGTTCATGATTTTCTAGAAAATCACGTAAAAAGCAGGATTTGATCCCAGCACCTGTGGCTCAAGCATGTAATCCCAGCTACTGGGGAGACTGAAGTATGATAATGGTTGGAAGCCAGCAGGGGCAAGAAAATTCATGAGATTCTTATATCCAATTAACCACCAAAAAGCGCGGGATGTGGAGCTGTGGCTCAAGTGCTAGAGGACTAGATTTGAGTTAAAAAGCTCAAGGACAGTCCCAGACCCCAAGACCAGCACACAAAAAAGTGGGATTTTGTTTGTAGATAAAGCTTTGCTATGTTGTCCATGTTGTCCAGGCCAACCTCAAATTCTAGGCTCAAGGGCTGGAAGGTAGCTCAGTGGTAGAGTGCTTGCCTTGCATTCATGAGGCTCTGGGTTCAATTCTCAGCACCACATAAGCAGAAAAATCCGGAAGTACCTGTGGCTCAAGTAGTAGGGTGCTAGCCTTGAGCTGAAGAGCTGAGGGACAGTGCCCAGGCCCAGAGTTCAGGCCCTACGACTGACAGAAAAAAATTCTAGGTTCAAGTAATCTATCCTCAGTCCTCTGAGTAGCTGAGGCTACAGATATGCCTCAACATGCCCATGCAGTAGGCTTTTATGAAGCTTATATCTTCATCATCATAGAGTAGGTCATTCAAATAAGTAACCATGTGTGCATGGTTCTGAGAGTTAGTGTTAATCTCAAAGGTACAAGGTACAACTATAGGGAGCACATTTTTCATGTGCTCTTGGAACAAAAGTCAAAGTTTATGAGAAACAATATTTAAATAACCCAGAAGTGCCACAGAAGTGCCTTTAGTTTCACCAAAGTAAAAACCAGTCTCCATATGCACCATGGATGAAAAAAATATGTGGGCACTACTGAAAGTGGAGATAATGATCTCTAAAGTATTTGCACATAGATGTTATTTGTGAAGAGTCAACACATTTCCCAGAATGATCTGTTGAGAAGATAAAGCACGGTTGTTCCAGAACTGTCTACAAGTTCATTAAACTTTGTTCCATGCCGTTCAACTAGATAAATAATTTCATACACTACTCATCCATGTCTCTCCCATATAGATTCTCTCTCTGATTGCCACAGTCTGTCCTTTCCTACCTAGTTCAAAGATTGACTTTCCCTGGGAATATATTCCTGGCCATTAGATGTACCTATTGTAAGTACTAAAGCTTTCTTCAAACTATTTATATTTAGTGTAACATTCTAGAAGTCTACCACCTTCTGGGCAAACTAGCATTTTCAATGTTGAAATTGCACCCTCTTTACCTTTTTCTACAAAATTGATGTGTGCCTGTTGTAAGGAATTCAAACAAAAAAATATATCCCTCTTAAAACATTAAAGTGCTACTTTGGTATTCTGGGTTTTTTAATTTTAGTAAATAAGATTGTGGTTACAGATTTGTATCTTTAAGATTTTCTGGATGGTTTATATTATAGTAGTTTAAAGCACTCGCTGTGTATTGGATTAAGATTAAATCTTGGCTTTTACTTTTGTATCTTTGCTAGATTGGAGAAGTCATTTAATTTCAATGTGTTTCAGTTTCCTCTTCTCTAAAAAGAGGTTAATAATAGTGTTTATTTGATAAAGTGGTGGTCAGAATTGAGTGAGGTTTTATATGTTCATGATATTTTATATGTATATGTATACATATGTATATAGAGAATTTCAAAATCTCACACATGGTAAAACACATGGTAAGACATGCTAACCAGTGTTGCTATTGACTTTTCTAGCTATTTTTCAAACTCAAGAAATCTTACTCCATTAGTTTTTTCTCAAACATCAATTGTTTGTTCCATTTGATTATTTTTATCACTCTGCTCCTTCAGATCTACTAATATTTCTCTTAGGAGTTCATTACCACATCTGTACAAGTAATCATTAAGTTTCTTGAATGAAGTGAGTATGATTGTTTATTTCAGTCTTCTGAAAATATTGTTGAACTTTTTTTTTTAACACATTGGGATGGTCTATTCAGGAAATACATTGTGAAAATATTTGCATCCTTTAGGTTCCACTTGTTAGATGTGACCTAATTTTGGTTCGATTTCAGTAGACATGTCTATACTGTTGTCTGAGGTCTTAGCTCTTGCCACCTTCTCTTCTTGGGAATACAGGAGCTTTCACAGCTTTGAGATTATGCGAAAAGCTCCCAGATCTATTGGCAGACCTGATTTCATTCTTAAACTGCCAAGTCAAGTTTCAACTGCCTGTTGTGATATTTACACGTGAATTTCCTACTAGTCTGTTATATCTAACCCAACCTTGGCTTTCTGTTTTCATATTAATGTTGATAACAGGCCAGTACTCTCCACTGAGAAGCTCAGGTACAACACCTAGTACCTGAGTTTAAGCTGTAGGATTGGCACAAAAATGAAACAAAAA